ACACAAAAACCATGGATTTCGCTAATTTTTAGGAGAATGCCGAGGGAGGAAAAGTCGAAAAAGAACAAGGCGAAACGTCAGGTTGGTTGATAATAAAAGAATACAGTGTTTAAAATTTATTTAAATATAGATCTTAACGCAAAAGAGCACTTTTTGCACTTTTAGAACTCTTCCGAGGAAGCCGAAAAGAAGCCCAAGGCCAAAAATAACAAGGCAAAGCGAGAAGAGGTTTGCCGATTTTTATAATACGACTTGGCGTTTTAGATTAAAAATCTTTAGGCCCGAAATGAAGTTACTCACGTTTTTCGAGCAGTTTTTTAATGAATAAACAAAAACAGCATTTCAGAACAGCTCCGAGGAGAAGGTCAAGGTCAAGCACGTCAAAAATCTCAAGATGAAGCGAGAGGTAGGCCGGTGAAAAGTATAATAACTCCTGAAACTATCTTTAATTCTTGAATTTACGGGTTACTTTCTAAATGTCAAGAGTCATAATGTCGAAATTTGCATACGAAAATATCCCGGAAAAATCGCGCAAATGCCTTGCAAGTAGGGTTGTTATATGACTTGAGTCGCCACCGACTTGCGTCGGCGAAAATGCAAATGACTTGAGTCGGCAACGACTCGCATCGGAAAAATTATGAGTCGGAAGGGACGGATTGAAATGTTAACGATTCAATTCGTGAACGACGCGAGTCGCCAAACGACTTGAGTCGGAATGGAAATCAGTCGGATGGAACGACTTGAAATCGCGACGACGCAAGTCGCCGACGACTCAAGTCGTTTGCGTTTTCAAGTCGTCGGAAGTTAATTTATGCAAATTTATGTTCATGGAAATCATTTTGATCGACCAACTCTATTCTTGTCTGAACAGAGAGACAACGTCGCACCACTATTTACGCTACGATTGGACAAGAGATCAGGTCTCACCGAGCCTCTTCCATCGAAAGCTGTATCAAAACAGTGAACTAGCGGACAAAGGCCGCTTCGCGCTGCGATTTTATCCCCTATTTGATTTTGCAGCATAACTTTAGAAAAGCCGTAAATCTTATTAAACCGTGTAGTAATATACTCAGAATAGTATGGCACTTCAAAATTAACGTTTTTGATACTTTAATATACCTCCAGAAGCTCCCTGAGCTCCCTGAGCACCCGGCTCCCTGGGCTCCTTAGCTCGAGCTTTACCAATTCCTTCATTTACGGCAGTTTTGATACAGCTTTCGATGGAAGAGGCTCGGTGAGACCTGATCTCTTGTCCAATCGTAGCGTAAAGAGTGGTGCGACGTTGTCTCTCTGTTCAGACAAGAATAGAGTTGGTCGATCAAAATGATTTCCATGAACATAAATTTGCATAAATTCACTTCCGACGACTTGAAAACGCAAACGACTTGAGTCGTCGGCGACTTGCGTCGTCGCGATTTCAAGTCGTTCCATCCGACTGATTTCCATTCCGACTCAAGTCGTTTGGCGACTCGCGTCGGGTTGCGATTTGAATCGCGCCGATTTTAAATCGCAATTCACGGTTTTAAAAGCATACGATTCAGTTCGTCAGTCGACTCCAGTCGTTTGCGAATTGAATCGTCAACATTTCAATCCGTCCCTTTCGATTCATAATTTTTCCGATGCAAGTCGGTGCCGACTCAAGTCATATACAACCCTACTTGCAAGATGTTTCGACAGGTTGAAATTTCGACATTCTGAAATTTTGCCATTTTGAAATTACGCCATTATCAAATTTCGGCATTATGAAACTTCGACCTCGTGTTAGCAAATCTAAATTTACACCTAAAACCTCCAGGAAAAGTCTGAGGAGCTGAAATCGGCCGAGATGAACGACTAGACGGGCCCTCCACTTGTGAAAATACGAACCAACCCGTTTGCTTGGCCCCATTCCATGTATTCGCCATTAATGTATCGATCATTTTGGTATATTTATCATGATATAATATTTGACAACCGTGCCCACACGAATAAATATTTTTTCGCATTGGTTTTCGGCTTTTCGGGGTTTCAAATCAAGTAAAAAGACACACGTAATGGGATGGAACAGATTTTTAAAGTTTGTATTATTTAGTTTTTAGCCTATGGAAAATTGCCACAATAATCGAGTGGAATGCAATGAGCTGTGTGAAGTGTTGTAGTTTGTAGCCGTTGCCTTCAAAATCGGTGTTCCCCGGGTCGTTCGGGTTCGAGGCGCGATTGAGCATCGTCTGGGCGGTGGACGAGCTGCATGTTGAACGACTCCATCCGCTTCATTTCGACGTTCTTCGGGGCACCACCCTGAAAATGCTACGGTAAGTGGGGCAAGTTTTAGGCGCGCGAAAAACGGATGGTTACGGTACCTGATGGAAGGCGAGTGGACGACGGATGTCTTCTGGGTGAGCAGGGAGCGGGAGAGGGAGCGCGTACTGTAACGGGTCTGGGTCCCGGATGGAAATTGGGGAATGACCAAGACAAAAGGCGAACAACTACAGTGTGGATAGGTTAGATTAAGTCTAAGCCGGAGTCTAAGCCCGCTCTTGAGCGAAGACCAAAGTCGATAGCTCAGCCGAAGCCTCTTCCAAAGCCTGAGCTTAACTCATAGCCATTTTCTTCCAAGAAAAATGATATTTCCAGCTGACTACAAACTACAGCTTCAGAAAAATTCACAAAGCTACGCTACACACCAAATTACGCATGAAGTGGAAAGGACAGCCAAAAACGCACCAAATTAGCATGCCCTTCTCTCATCTATAGGATACACATACACTGCTGGACATAATTTTGGGTTCACCCAAAGTTTTCGGCTTTTCTCGCACAGCAATGGGGCTCTCGCCGCGCGCTTTGAGTATAGGGTTTGCCGAGTATATTCTTATCCGGGCTTGAAAGGAAAACCGCGAAGAATTTTTAGTTTTTGTTTAAATGGTTTTTTTGTAAAATTACCATTTTGGCAAGTGGTCATAATTTTGGGTTCACCCACCCAAATCTGCCAAAAAAAATCTTAAAAACGCAAATTGGTTTACGAAATGAGTTAATTGGTTAACAATAAGCATAATTGAATGCCTGAACGCTTGAAGACCCCGCTTCACGATGTGGAGGAACGGGTTATCGGCAAGCTTCTGATCGCCGGAGCCTCGGCTCTCGAATAACGCATTCTTTAGCGACTGGACTTCTCGGTAGCAGTGATTATTGATGGAAAATCATGCCACCAGGTAGCCTTAACAGGTTTTTCATCAATGCGTGCTTGAGAATTAGCTGACAGCTCAAAAAGTGAAATTCCGGGCATTGCAACCATAACCATCGGCGTTTGCTAACCGGAATCCAAATCTGAAGCTCCTGGAAAATGCGGTTCTGGACCGGATTCAGCCGGAACAATAACGGATGGAAGCCTTCCAAAGCCTACTCGTACAGATTCGGCTTCAACTTCTTGAGCATGAGCTTAAAGCTGACGCTTTGGGCCGCGATTTCGTGACTCACAAGGAGACGTTTTTAGGTGGGCACGGAGTTTCGTAACGAGACCTAGCTCATTCGAAAGAGCTTGAAAAACTGAGCAAGATCCCGTTTTCCATTTCTGCGAAACGATAGCGATTGATTTTTAATAATTAAATTAAAGAATTAGCAGAAATTGGCATGGTTCCCCTCGCGCGGAGCGATTTCCTCCCAAAACTCCCCTCTCGCGGAAAGCCAGGCCCCGTCTTCCCTTCCCCATAGCGATTTGGCGCAGTCGGTAGGGCGTTTGCCTCCCACGAAATTTTTTGGACTTTTTGTCGGTTCGACCCCTAGGCCCAGAATTCGTTTTGCTTTTTATTTTAGGGGGCTGAATTTTTATTTTAATTATCTAAATGCGTTAAATAAACGTTCTGAACAGCATCGGTGGAGGCACAAGCGGGCCAGTTGATTTTAATCCCTGAGACGCAAGTGCAACGTTACCGGTTTGGGGCATACCTCAAAACAAATTAATTTTGTAGTAGATTCTACATTTCAAAAGCGTTCAGGAATTAAAAAGCAAAACGAATTCGGGGCCTGGGGGTCGAACCGACAAAAAGTCCAAAGAATTTCGTGGGAGGCAAACGCCCTACCGACTGCGCCAAATCGCTATGGGGAAGGGAAGACGGGGCCTGGCTTTCCGCGAGAGGGGAGTTTTGGGAGGAAATCGCTCCGCGCGAGGGGAACCATGCCAATTTCTGCTAATTCTTTAATTTAATTATTAAAAATCAATCGCTATCGTTTCGCAGAAATGGAAAACGGGATCTTGCTCAGTTTTTCAAGCTCTTTCGAATGAGCTAGGTCTCGTTACGAAACTCCGTGCCCACCTAAAAACGTCTCCTTGTCAGTCCGGCGCAGCTCATTTCGTGGATTTTCGTGGATAAAAAGTACGCGCGTAGGCCTTGGAAGGCTTCCGCCCGCCATTATTCCGGTTGAATCCGGTCCAGAGCCGCATTTTCCAGGAATTGAACGCGCGGATTCCAGTCAACAAACGGCCAAGTTCGCGTTACCAAAGTCTTGGAAATTAATTTGTTGACCTGTCGGCCAATTCTCAGGTACGCATTGATAAAAAAACTGTTACAGCTACCTGATGACGTCGTTTTGTATCCATAATCACCGCTACCAAAAAGTCCAGTCGCTAAAGAATGCGTTAATCAATACCGGGCAGTAGCCCAATCCTGGGCATCGAGGAGGTGGTTTTTAAATGTTCAGACATTGAGTTTCACGTATTTTTTCCCAAAGTTGGCCCAACAATAACACATATCGCGTTTTTCGAGTTTTTTAGCGGCTTTCCCAGGGTGAACCCAAAATTATGTCCACTTGCCAAAATGGTAATTTTTCAAAAAAACCATTTAAACAAAAACTAAAAATTCTTCGCGGTTTTCCTTTGAAGCCCGGATAAGAATATACTCGGCAAACCCTATACTCAAAGCGCGCGGCGAGAGCCCCATTGCTGTGCGAGAAAAGCCGAAAACTTTGGGTGAACCCAAAATTATGTCCAGCAGTAGTCAGTAACAGCAGCAGCAGTAGTCACGCTACCTCAACAGCGTCTTCCTCCGCTCCTTCCCGAATATACCGCCCGTCCACAGTCTGCAAAAAAGGGTGATGAGAGAGAGCGAGAGGGAGAGAGTGAGCGAGGCAGAGAGAGAGAGAGAGAGAGAGAGAGAGAGAGAGAGAGAGAATGAGAGAGAGAGAGACGAAAGAGTGAGTGAGAGAGAGACAGCGAGAGAGGGAGAGAGAGTGAGCGAGGGAGGGAGAGAGAGAGTGAGAGAGAGAGCAGCGGGCGAGAGAGAGACAGCTAGAGAGAGAGACAGCGAGAGAGAGAAAAAGTGAGATACACTCCTCTGAACCTACCGCAACGAAAGCAGAAGCCTCCTCCTGAATATCGACGACGTCATGCAGAACAAAACGACGTTGCACATCTTCCCGATCAGCACCAGGTTGTTTGTGATTGGCGGTACGATATCGGCAACGCTGAAACAAATGCTTCATAGGTCTTGTTGGCTTTTAAAAGGACTTGGAAGCCACATGCACACTTCAGAAGCCTTGGATTGGGCTCCAGAATTTTGTACCAACCGTGGCGGCAGTAGAATGTAGCTCCGAAGGAGGGCAAACAACGCCGACGGTGCTTGCGTTACGGTGAAACATGTGACGATGGCCATCACCCTAAAAATTGAGGTGTTTGTGAGTTTAAGCATGAGCCTAAGCCTCAAGCAGACGTCGAAACTTAAGCCTAAGACGAATCCTTACGTTCTCGTCATTCTCCGCTCCTGCTCAATCTGCGCCGAAGGTCCCTTGTGCTGATGGCAATTGGCGAGCAGCTCCTAAATCATCTTGATGTCAGCTTCAAGCTGCCGAAGCTCACCTGGGAATTTCGGTTCTTGATAAGTCTCAGCAGGGCAACATTTAGCACGGCAACCGCCACCACTGGTCCCAGCACCGCGAATATCGTGTTGAGGACGGTGGCGTAGTGGATGAAGGACTAAAAAGCGGGGTGAAAGTTGTCACTTGAAGATAAGCGTCGTCTTGGCTTAACTTACCAATCTGGCTTCTGAGGGCAACGGGATACGGTAGATTTTATGGAAGTATTCAAGACCAGCTGGGAAGCAGCTGACCCGCACCAGGGTCTCGTTACAGAATTCTCGCATCTCACAGCGATAGGAAATGTAGTGATAGCTGCAAATGGAGAAATGAGAGAGAGGGACAGCGAGAGAGTCAGAGAGTGCGCGAGAGAGAAAGAAAACGTGAGAGAGACAGAGAAAGAGAGAGAGAGAGAGTGAGAGAGACAGAGAGCAAACGAGAGTGAGAGAGATAGAAGATGAAGAGAGAGCGAGAGAGAGACAGAGAAAGTGAGAGAGCGAGAGAGAGAGAACAAAGAGCGCGAGCTTCACTCCGACTTACCTGGTTAGCAAAAATGTCCCAGCAAAAACGACGAACGCCATCGCGACACTTTGCTTATTCTAAAAACCTTGCTTTATTTCGTCCCCACCCTTAAATTACATTGAAATTGTTGAGCGACCGAAATGGGAATTTGATGACGACCAGCCGCTCGATCGACACTGCCAGCACAAACCTGCAAAAATTTTACCAACTCCTTGCAAAACCCTACCAAATTGCCGCCGCGCTGAACCAGTTGCTTAGCGCCTGCACCTGGACCATGATCTGGAACGGAAAAGGGGTTGGAATCCATAACGAATCTGTCACCTTTTTATAGAATACTCGATAGGAGTTCGAGTCCTGGACACCGGGCAGGGTGGCCAGGAACTGGGGGAAGAGCAGGATCAACACCATCGCGTCGCACAAGGCCAGCAGGGCTAGGAGGTGGTTGGCTCTGAAATGGAAAAATTGCTTAGCATTAATTCAACGTATCAATCTTATCCTTTCGTGACGGAAAGCTCACCGGTTTTTGACTTGGCTTCGCAGCAGGACAGAGATAATTAGTACATTGCCGACAAGGGTCACGAGAAGCTGGATCGGGTAGAGATACTGAAAATTCTATCTTTAGGCTAGACTCTCGCTATCTCTCTCTCTCTCTCTCTCTCTCTCACGCTCTCTCATGCTCCTTCTCGATTTCGCGCCCTCTCGCCCTCCATCACGCTCCCACTATCACTCACTTTTTTTCTCGCGCTTACTCTCTCACTCTATTTCTCTCACTCTCTCTCTCTCTCCCTCACTCTCTCTCTCCCTATTTCTTTCTCTCATTCGCAAAACAACTTACCCTATAAGTATGACGATCCAATCCGCGGACCAGCCGCAGCTCTTCGTATAATTTTTCTGGATGATCGCAAATGTTCGTCATCTGGAAAAATTAGGGTATAAGTCAAAAAATCGAATAAATCAGCGTTGGAAAAAAGAGGAATTTGAATACAGCACTGTTTAGGTAGTGGATTATTTTTTTACTATTGCGTTCTCTCTTTATCTCTCTCCGTCTCTCTCTCGCACTCTCTTTATCTCTCTCTCCCACTCTCTCACCCTCTATCTTTATCTATCTCCCACTCTCTCTCGCTCTCTCTTTCGATCTCTCCCTCTCTCTCTCTCGCTTCTCTCCAACCAGCAGAATCACCACCACACGTAATCACAGATCCGGCCGTTGTGCCGGTGTAAATATCCAGAATCCAATTAGCAATGAGGTGCGGTCCCCACAGCTTCCAAATGCCTCCCCCCACCCCTCCGGACGTCCACACGAAATTCCCGGGTTTGTTTTTTGGCGGGTTTCAGGGGGTGTGGAGAATGATTCGGGGCGGAACGGCCGCGTCCTGAATTCTGGACACTCGCACATCAATCTGAGAAGAAGACTGATCGAAGGGGGGAAGGGACGGGAGACACCTATGGACGGAATGCCGGGAAGGGAAAGGGGGGAACGGATGAAATATAGCCACGGGGTATGCATGGGAGGCCCAATCTGATCTATCTGTGGACCTCCAGGTGGGTTCGGAGGATTTTGGGCCATGGGAGTCGAGGAAATTGGGACTTGGGGTGTAATGTTCAGAAGTTACAAGGACTCCGCTTCCAAAATTTCTTAAAAGTTAAGGAGAGAGGGAGAGCGTGTGTGAGAGAAAGAGAGAGCGCGGGAGGGAGCGAGAGGAGCGAAAGAGAGCGAGAGAGTTATAGACGGCGAGGGGGGAGAGAACACGAGAACGGAAAAATAAAGACAGGGACACAGATAGAGAGAGATGAAATTAAAAGAGAGATTGAGAGAGAGCGCGTTAGAGAGAGAGTGAGTGAGAGAGCATGTGAGAGAGACTGAGATAAAAAAATTGTGATATAGGGTGCAAAAGTAATCCAAGAACTGAAGAAGTATATGGTGTACTCTGCTCCGTGTTTTTCTCTCCCGTTCTCTGTCTCACTCTCGGTCTCTCTCTCTCTCTCTCTCTCTCTCTCTCTCTCTCTCTTTCCCATCCCCTATTCTGAGTAGGCCAATGTTTTGAGCTGTTTGCTAGCATATTAATGTATTTGGCCACGGCCCCCCAGATCCCCTAAGGGCCCAAAAAACATGCTAACGCCAGTGTGGGGGTCCACAGGGTTTGGCGCGTAACCAGACCTAACTTTGCAGATTTTAAATTATCAATGCAAAATAAAAAACATGCAGTATAAAAGCCAAGTACTGAACGAACTTTTCCGGAAATTTGGGCTAAAGCCAGTGAAGGGCGGGGAGAAAATACTTGAGCCTTTTTTGGGGGATGGCCAAGGGGTAAACACGACATAACAAGACTAAGCGCCCGGGATTTGGGTTTGGAAAAGCCAAAAAGGGCGAGGTATTTGCGTGCAATGACCATCGTAGGGGGTAGAAAACGGGTGAGTGATCGTTGAAAAATTTGTAGAAAATTCTGGAGAATTTGCAGCCAAAATCGATGCTCTCTTTCTCTCGATCACGTTCTCTCCCACTCTCTCTCTCTCTCTCTCTCTCTCTCTCTCTCTCCCTCTCTTTCTGTCTCATTCCAGTTAGCTCTCGCTCACTCCCATTTACTTCGCTCTAGCTCTATGTCCCGTTCGCTTTCTCTTACCCTCACTCTCACTCACTTGCTCTCTCTCTGTTCTCTCTCTAGCTCTCTCTCTCTCTCTCTTTCTCTCTCTCTCTCTCTATCTCTTGCTGTCTCTCTCTCCCTCGCTCCCCCTCTCTCTCTCACTCTCTCGCCTTCTCTCTCTCTCGCTCTCTCTTTCTGACCGTCATAAAAGGAGTGGGTCAAAAAATTGAACATAAAAAATACACAAACAAAATGGCAGGTGAGCTTTGAAAGCCACTTTTGAAAAAATACACAATAGCCAAAAAGTACAGTTTTAACTCAAGATATAAATTAATAATACTATACGGAACCAAAACCTGGTCCCTTGCTAACCCTTGTAAAAAAGATCCGGGGCAACAAAATAAAGCTTCCCCCCGTGCTCCATCCGCCTGACCCAACGTCTAATTGGCACGGCCAAGATCCAATTTTTCAGATGTCGCTGCAAGGGGGGAGAGTGTCCATAGGAGTCTCCCGAAATAGTAAGCCCTTGTTTTTGGGCGCGCTGACCTCTTAGCCACCTTTTAGCCGCCTCAACGTCTAGAGAACGGGGGTCCAAAATATTTGGATGTTGCCTGGGTGTGGTACGGTAGTTGCAAATGTGTCCTCGTGGGGACTGGGCAGCCATTTATGCATGGGCCCCAACGAGGCGATGATGCGCCGACGGGAAAACACGCACAGAACTCGTGCACTCTAGAGCATCGACTTATATTCTCCCCAAAATGCATGCGGAAATCGTAAAAGTTGAAATTCGCGTACTTGAAACTGTGCGGAGGGAGAAACCAAAAGATGGAGAGAGAGTCAATGAGTGAAAGAGATGAGAGAGAGAGAGAGAGAGAGCGCGTGATAGAGAGCGAGAGAAAGAGAGAGAGAGCTAGCGAGAGAGCGCTGAGAAAGCCAACGAGAAAGAGAGGGAGAGTGTGTGCGAGAAAGAGAGCGAGAAAAAGATGGAGGGAGGGAGTGAGTTAGAGAGAAGATGTGAATAGTTTTTGAGATTTGGAAGCATAAAAACCTTAAGTCTGGCTTTACTAAAAGCCGCGTCTACCTAGCGTGCGCCGCTTTCGAGCTGATTTGCATATTCCGTTGCGTAGGAATAAAATATGAATTTGTGGAAACGCTACGCGCTCGAATCTAGTTCTCACTCTCTCTCTCTCTCTCTGCCTCTCTCTCCCCCTCTCACTCTCTGTCTCTCTCCCTCTCCCTCTCTCTTTATCTCTCTTGCTCTCTCTCTCTCTCTCTCTCTCTCTCTCTCTCTCTCTCTAGCTAGTTGTTCTTTCCTGTTATTTGCATACCAAATCATACTTGAAATTTAGCGCATAACCCCCTCAAAAATCGAAGATTTCCTCATTTTTTAGAGCGCAGCATGCAGCTGAGTTGGGTGGGAGTTTAAGGACTTCAATCCGTACTCGCATAATTGCTAAAGTTATGCATTGACCCCGTAAATTCAGAATGCCGACCGCGTGCCCGAGCACTACGACTCGGACGCGCTGATTCCGGGACTCTGCGTGGTCATCTACATTCCGTTGATGCTCTACGTGCTCGTCGTCTACCATCGGCTACTGCAGAGTGCGTAAGGATACGTTAAGGCTCGCCGGGTTGACTTCGCTTCCACCGGTAGATCGTGGTGAAGGCGAAGAGATACTACGCTACGCTCCAAATGCCGCGGCTTTAGGGTTGGAGGCGGTTCGCTCGGGGTGGCCGCAGTACGAGGCGGCGCTGTGGGCGGACGATGAACGGGCGGCGGGCATGGATCCACAGGCTGGGTACGGTGGGGAGACGGAGTGCAAGAGCGAGCGAGAGAGAGTGAGCAGGAGAGACAGCGAGAGAGAGCAAGAGAAAGCGATAGACAGGGAGTGAGAGAGAGAAGGAGAGAGAGAGAAATTTTCTAGGGAGGACCACGATCTACCGGTGGAAGCGACGTCCACCCGGCGAGGTTGGCTGAGCCGCGAGGGACACCTTCGAAAGAATATACCCGATGTGTGAATCGATTAACAATAGAGGAATAAAGATTCTGGAAATGTTTCCCTGCACGAAAAGACTAAAGTTGAGCCGGCAATTACCGACCACGGAAATCAAAGAAACGCTGCAGGGACCGCGGCTTGGCATTTGACTAATTGGATGGAAGGGGGTCATGGGGGGAGTTGCAT